TAATTAATAAGCATGATTTAATTTATTTGTAAGGCATAAGAATTAATTAGGAGTTTTCTGAAACAAAAAAGAAAACCAAAATCTTTTTTTTGTCAGAAAACATCAACATTTCAGTTAATTAAAAAATTATAATTATAATAATAAATATAAACAATAAAAATAATGTAGTATTTATGCTGCATTCAGCTCCAGGAAATTAAGAAATTGCCGAGGATGACCGGACAGAAAATATCTATGTTTTTCAGTTTAACTGCATGGAAAACATTTTATTTTTTATCTTTGAACAGATTTAGTTTCACCATTAATAAGCAGCAGCTTCAGACGTGTTTCAGCCGACCTGACGACTCATTTAGAGGAAACATGAGAGGGTTGGTTGGTTTTATATGAGGGGGTTCCCCTGCAGTGAAGCCCAGAAATGTGTCTCTAGATTGTTTCTCTCAGTGACAAAAAATAGGAAACTTTTTATCTCGACGTTGCCTGTGTTAGCATAATATTTTATGAGCAGCATGACGGATTTTCGTGAAACTTTCAGAGGAGAATGACTGGATGTAGCTGCATCTGTTCATTAACTTTTTCAGGCAGTCCGACACAAACCGTTCAGGCAGCCTGCAGCTGATGGATCTTAGCCACCAGAAAACTGTCTCCTCCAGTTATGGACATTGAGTTAAATCTGAAGACAAGAGGATTAACATTTAACACAAAATTATCTCTGTCTAATATGGCATTAACAGCGGCGGGTGATGAACAATTAAAGAATGTTGGACGTTTCATTTATTAAAAAAGGCTATTGTAAGAAGAAAAGGAGGAAACTCCATTTTTAAATGATTTATTTTCGCAAAATAAATAACGTATTTTGCCCTTATTAAGTGGATTTTTATTTAATGAAAAAAAATTAGAAACCCCTCACCAGCTGGTTTCTCTACAGTATTGTTATTTTTATTCTTTTTTTTTATTTTTTGACTCTACAAAATAACAAAAATAAAGACAACAACAATAACATTTATGACAATGACTTCATTTCTGCTCCACCGTGCAAACAACCCGCCTCAGATCAGAACTCCTGTTGGTTCAGAATCAAAGCCGACCCCCAGAGGGAGGGTCTGCACCAGGCTGAGCGCCTCAGACAAGCCAATCAGAAAATAGGAGAAAAAAAAATCAACAAACAGTGTTTTAAAGCAGCAGAGTATAAAGTTCCCGCTGTCAGTGAGAGGATGTGCTGCAGGTTTGAGAGCCAGACGATCATTTCTTTCCTAACGAACAAAATCCAGCTTGGAAAAAAAAATAAAAAAGAAAAGAAAAATTAAAAAAAAGAGGAAGATAAGGATTTACGCACATTGACCAATTTTTTTGTCCAACATTTTTATTTTTCATGAGAAACTATTTCAAAACATTTGTTCTAAAAATAGAGACCCCGATTCTTCATAAAT